ATACCAACGTTCTAATGTTATAAATGACATATTCAACATTCTCTTACAAAAATTTTATATTAATTACTTAAATTATATTTGTCCGTGAAGATGATGATAGTATCATGTTTAGAAAGAATATGCATACAATATATATATATATTTTCTTTTTCTTTAGCGTGGACAAAAAAAAAATTGCTTCATCAAGAAAATGTAAGCAAGCACAAATATATATCATTATCTACCAACTTTATTGACAAAAACTGACCAAAATACGTTTAATTRTATTTTCAAAACTACTTTAATTTTTCAAAAATTTAACTTATATGATTTTTACAAAATACATTTCCTTCTTTTCCCATTTTTTCAAAAAATCAAACTCTTCAAAGAATACCAAAGAAATACCCGGTAATAATTTTAGTTCACAACTTTCTTTTTGAATTATATTATATCTACTTAAATTTTTTCTTTTATCATATTTGTCTCTTTCGTTGCTTTTTAAATTCATGTCAAATATAATATTTAACATTTAAACTCAACAAAAAGCATATTCATTCGAATTTGAAATTTTACCACAAAAACATGTATGTTCCAAAATTTAAAACTAATTGTCTTGCCGACAAGATTTTAAATGTCGATGTTGATAGAAATATCGAGATCTCAATTTCACAGAAATATCAATAAAAATGTTAAYACCRATGGATATTTCTAGAAAAATTATAAAAATAAAAAAATTATAAGAAATATTTAAATTAACATATAAGCATTTCATCATTTCTAAATAAGTTAAAAACGATTCACATTGATATGAATATTATATGTATATTAGTGAGAGTGAAAAATTAAAATATATTTATTCAATGACAAAGATCAATCGTGGAATCAAGAGATGTCATTTTAGAAAATTTTCTATGATTCATTATTACATTTTGACAGAAAAAATGAGATGTTTTAAGATAGGATATTCTTCAACTAACATTCTACTTTATTGGAGAGAYAGAGACAGAGAAACAAATTTTAAAAACTGAAAACAAAAATAAAGAGAGAGAGAAAGAAAAAATAATTTTTTTCTAGAATGAAACAAAAATTAATTAATTTGAGAGTGATTGGTAGATACRATTCGGTGGAAGAAACCTCATAAAAAWTWATTATTGGGAATTGACTTTAATTACCTCCTATTCATAACACCTTTTTCCTTTCTCCTTTCATTTTTCAATTATTTCAGATTTAATTACTATTTTATTCCTACTTTTAAACTTTTATAAAGTTAATAATTTGATCCCTATTTACAACACTTTAACCCAAGTTTTATACAAAATTAAAACTTTAATACAAATTTATTTTTTTTACATTTTAAAAAATTTAATGAGTGAAATGTCATATTAAAATTATGATCGAAATAAATTAGATAAAAGTAAAATCAAATGGACAAAAACAATCCCTTTTTAATAATACAAGAACCAAAATAGACGTTTCGAAAGTATATGTCTCCCCATCTTTCTTTCTTCTTCTTCTAACCCTAGGCGTTCCCCTTTCATTCTTTATAGGAAAACAACCTTATAAATAAACATGATTTTCTTTTTTATATATGTGTGAATCTAAATTAGCTTATACATGTCTGGACTAATCTTACAAGTCYGTAACAACGGCGAGATCTTACAATAGAAATACCAAAAATTTATTCTAAAGTTGGTGGCACCATGAAATTTATGCAAAATTACCCAAGTCCATCTTTCTTTCTTATCTCATTAAAAAAAATGTCCCTTTTCCTTTGTCCCAAGACTCCCAATGTTACTAAGTCAATCAATAATTGGTTAAATAAATATAATAATTAAATTACACATCATTCATTTTTTTAAAAAATTCCATTTATCCCATATACTTAGGTTKAACTAAAAGAAAAAAATCTCAATACTTAAATTAGTGAGTCAATTTCATCCAATTAAGCTCTAAACTTCAATRAATCACACAAAATTCCCYCTACATAAAATATTTAAAATCAAGTCATGAAAATTATATAACTTTTGACTACAAGAAAAATGATTGAACTCAACTACAAAATCAAGCATATAGAAAGATGTGATCCAAGCTCAAAATGGTAATACCTAAATCCAATAATCCAATGAAAAGAATCAATATCTACATAAGAAATAGTTTTGTTTAGTCACATGTCAAAAATAAATAAATAAATAGAAATCTCAACTAATAAAAGGTATTTTTTTCACTACTTATTTGAACTTCAAAGTTTAATTCGAAGAAATTATCACTTTAAACTTAACACACTCTGTTTGGGGAAGAGAATACCCTGGACACGTGGAGGACCCCTATTGTTGCTCCAAGATGACTCATGAGTCATGCCCAGCTCGGACCGCCGAGATCACCACCACTAGCGTTGACAGATGCTAAGTATGAGGGCCGAGGTGAACCTGGCCGAGGTCCGACCTACCGGGAAGCTCGGTAGGGGCCGATGTGAGCTACTGTCAGCGGCGTGATTATCGGGTGTAACCGTCGGTCCCGAGATTACCAGGTGTAACCGTCTCGAGATTAGCGGGACTACCACCCATAAGTAGAGGACCTCACTCCACGATCAGGTACGATGATTTCTGACCTCGAACTAAGCTAGGAGTCCGACCTATACTGACTTGATCGTCAGAGTGCTCACCTTTGTGTGCAGGACCGCCCTAGTATTCAGATCGGTCCGGAGGCCGAGTTCGAGCTGCAATTTGAAATACACTGTTGTGCATATCCTTGCATAAACATTTGGCGCCGTCTGTGGGGAGCGACAATCTAAGTCACCCCAATCCTTTTAAACCAATACGCGAGCGAAAATGGTTCAACCAGCAAACTCGACCAATACGGTAGATCGAAGGACTCTAGCTGCCAACGATGCACACGAGAGGGAGGTTGGAGCAGCAGTGGTAGAGGGGCAAGGTCACGACGACCTAGCAACAGAACCCCTCCGCAGGTCGGCACGAATCACCGCGCCTGTTCTACCACTTGTGCACCCCCCAAGGACATCCAAAGCCACCCGTGGCCGAGGTGGAACCTCTAAGAAGGGCG